GTCTTACGAGGGTGAGGAAGAAGAATGGGGCTAAAACTTATTCTAGCGCCGTTGATATTAGGCCGAAGCAGGACCAAACCGGAGGTTTGAGAGTAAATATCGCTCACCCACGCATGCCCTGGGGAATACCCCGGGGCGCAATGTGCGTTCAAAGATTCAATGATTCACGTCTGCAAGTCATATTACGTATCGCAATTCGCTGCGTTCTTCATCGATGCGAGAACCAAGAGATCCGTTGTTGAAAGTTTTTAAATTGTGTTATTGAAAAAAAAGGTTCAGTTGTTTCTCCTAAAAGTGTGTAATAATATTTTTAATGATCCTTCCGCAGGTTCACCTACGGAAACCTTGTTACGACTTTTACTTCCTCTAAATGACCAAGTTTGACCAGTTTCTCAACCCAAGGCCGGGTCGCCCCGGCCCAGGGTTTAATCCAGAGGCCTCACTAAGCCATTCAATCGGTAGTAGCGACGGGCGGTGTGTACAAAGGGCAGGGACGTAATCAACGCAAGCTGATGACTTGCGCTTACTAGGAATTCCTCGTTGAAGAGCAAAAATTACAATGCTCTATCCCCAGCACGACGGAGTTTCTCAAGATTTCCCAAACCTCTCGGCTAAGGCAAACTCGCTGGCTCCGTCAGTGTAGCGCTTTTTTTTTTTTTTTTTACATTGTTTATTCGAATATAGAGAGTGGGACCACCACGTGCTCAACCAGTAACTATACAGATTCAAACTCATCTTCAAGGGAAAGGAGAGACTCCAGCAACGAGACCAAGAATCCAGTCTCAGCCCGGAAGCTAGGCGGTCTCAATCCCAAAACCCTTCGCATCCTCTCAGCACCCTTACATCTTCCTGAAATCCTTAAGATCCATCTTCTTAATACCTCGGCGCCTCAAAGCTCCTCGCTCCGCGTCTCATCTGATTACCACCCATGCTATAGCCGCACATCCGTAGACCCGCTTTGCCGATTAGCCCATCAAACGTTGCATCTGTCCGCTAAGCCACTGACAACCGGAAACGCCCGATTAGGCCAGCCCTGCCGCTTCCCTTACCATCAAAGCCGGCACTTAGAGTCCGAAGCCCGTGCCCGAGCCCCATCATCCCACGAACCCCTACCGTTCCATCTTCCCTGAATCCCCCAATGAAGTTGAGGAGAAGAAAAGATGGGTTTGTGTTGAGAGGGGGCACTTATATATGGGTGGGATCTGAGTAAAACAGACGCATTGGGAAAAGATTTTCACAAACAAAGCCAGAATAGTGAAACAAAGAAAACAGTACACAATAAGCCATTCCACTGCTGGCCAGAGAGAGTTTGTTAATTCAGCTGAGTGGTACGTTCAAGCCAATTAGGCGGCAATAATCCTAAGCATCTCAGCTGAAAAGTTCAGAAAGGAACTAACACGATTCCTTCAGAAGCCACGAAGAATTCAAGATGAAAGCCAGAACGCGTTGATAACAATACTTACTAAAACGTGGCAACGCAACAATGGCCGCGCGTAGTGAAAATCAAACAATAGCAACACCCATGAAGTGGTCTGATGGTTCAAGGAAAACGACACTCAAAGATGGTAAAAACTTGGTTATTTGGAGGATCCTAAGAGTTGTGACAGTAAACTTGTAGCAGAATAAGAGCGAGATATACGAAACAGCCAAAGAAAATCGTGAAAGCCCACCGGCTTGTAACAATGCTGCATTGTTGTTAGTATACAACCTGCATGACTCCTAGGACACGTCTTGAAATAATTGGCCAGGCTCATTCTGACCGGCCACCTTAACGCCGACTTGAGCCAACCCCATATCTCAGAAAAGCCTATTGAAAATGAAAAAAATACAATGTACAATTAAAAAAAGCTATAAAAACTGAAACCAAAACTATGGATTTAACAACCACCCATAAATGTAATCCCTTAGAACTTCTTGTTGTAATGCCGCATCATATGTTGCATAGTCAGCTCAACATTCTCTAGACCACAATAGTCGACCTCAAGGCAATAGCCGGAACGCGACTCTCTCAGCTGGGTCCAGCCCAAGCGAAGCAACCGGTTGACCAAAAAGAAGAACTTATCTATTTTGATAGAATCCAATGAGACTCTGGCAATTAGCAAGGCTTCGGTGGGGCGTCCTTCTAGACCAACAAAAGACCATATTTTTTTTGTGACCGCGCACTCGAAATACACATGACGAGCGCGAGCGGTTTGCGGACGTGTCGAGTTTGGGAGGGGCATATCGCACAACCAGCAGGTCGCGCCTTGAGCCAAGAAACACACATCGAGGCCAAGATGAAATGCATGAGTGTATGCAAGCGGCATATTGAGCGAGAAGATGCGCGCTTTTTGAGCCTTCCAGAAGAGGTCAAACGGCGCCGTTGGGGCAAGCGAGGTGATGGTTTTGGATGTGCGAGGTTTGGGAACAGCTAGCTGGTGGCGTTTGCTCACCGACGTAAAGAGACCAATGGAGTAGGACTGATGATTGAGTGGAGCCGGAAGATCGTCGACGGGCGGCACCCATGTCTCAATCAAACGCTTGAGAGACACAGCATTGAATCTTTTGCGTTCACCCTCCGGATAGTCCTTTATCATGGTTGGAGCGCGAGTCTTGACAGAAGCATCCAGCACATGAAGTGGCATCACAAGCTCGAACCATGCGTCAAGATAGGCACACTCGGTGGTTGAAAAGTATTCACGCCATGGTATAGTGCGGTAATTTTTCTTACTTCTTTTCAAGTTGAAGGACCACCCAAGAAGAAACTGCCACCACTGCACAAGCATAATGTCTCGACCGTCCGCGAGACGAACTTTGTCGTGGGCCACACCATACACATCAATCAACATCACCTGGATCTTACAGCGCAAAAGCATGGAGAACCATTGCGGTGGATCAAACAAAATGCGATGAATCACCTTAGCTCGCTTACCAAGTAGTTGTAAACGCACATCCAAACAACCATATCCGCCGTTCTCGATACGGTTGAACACCGTTTTGTCTAAAGTAAAGGGAAACAAGGACTTGATCAGTGCACATAATTGCTTTATATCAGCAAGCTGCATTGGCGTGTGAAGATCACGGTAATAGATCTTTGAGTACACAAATGTGTTGACAGCGTGGGCGCGGTGGACGGGCGGTAAAGCTTGTGGATTCGACCCACGAACAACACCAACGAGTTTGTGAATCTCCGTCAGCCAGTCATAGCCCTTGTTTGGGTAACCCAAATAATTAAAGGTGGCATCGTCATAATTGACCCAAGGATATTGGAGTTCGGGGTGAATATCGCCGGCGGCGTGGCTGGACATGTCCACAACCATAGACTTTGCCGCATTCACAGAGCAGCCTGCAAAAATTGCGAACATCTGAAGGGCTTCACGAAGCACACGAGTATCATTGTCCAGACCAAGAAAGACGGTTAGATCATCAGCAAAGGCACTTAGCTTGATTCTGGTATTGATAAGCGGCGCCTGGGTTAGTGAAAGGCCTCTGAGGTAATTATTGAGACCACAAAGTAGAGGCTCAAGCGCCAAAGCAAAGAGAAACGGCGAAAACGGGTTGCCCTGCAAGGTGCCGACACGGATAGGGAAAGGGTGGCTTTTCATTCGGTTGATCCATAGGTTTGCAGTCTGAGAGCGAAGAATGGTCATTATGGCAGTCGTTAGGCCAACGGGAAGGTTTATGTGCAGCAAGACCTTCGAAATATACAGATGCGAAATCAGATCAAAGGCCTTATGAAAATCAACAAGGGCAATTTGTCTGAGTGGAGCACCAAACAAGGTGGGCGGTGGGATGGCGTCGTCAATGTCCATCAACTCCACAACGCCGTCTTCAGGCTCGGCCTCGCGTAAAAGCTCCACCACCTTCCTAAACTGAGCTATAGACTCGTCCATGCGGCGGCCCGGAAGAAAGCCAAACTGGTGTGGTCCAATCAAGTCATTGGCAACTGTGAGGAGGCGTTTGTTGATGGCCGAGCAAATGATGCGAAGACTGCAATTTTGGAGCGCGAGCGGCCGCAAGTCGTTGATGCTTTTAGATGTGCCTCTCTTTGGCACAAGATCGATGATCACGGACGACATGCGCTTCGGAATGTGCCCTTGCATCATATCGTTGGCTATTTGCGCGAAGAGCTCGCCATGATCTTCCCAGGTGGCTTGCCAAAAGGCAAAGGTAAGGCCATCTTCTCCCGGCAGGGAAGCCGTGGACCCCTTGAGTGCCGCATAGAGCTCATCGGCGGTGAACGGTCTGTCGAGATCGTCCAACTTTGACAACGGCACCGACGCCTTCCAGGGCAGAAAAAATTCTTTAGTCATGCCGAGATCATCGAACGGCTTCTCATCATATAGCGCAGACCAATGCTTCCATGCCATCCTGGTGATAGCATTCGTGGTAGTGGCCGTATGCCTTCCATCAGCCGAAACCATAATCTCAAATACATGTGGCTTTTTTGTGAGCGGCTTGAACGCTAGTGCCTGGGTGGCATGAAACAGCTTGAATCTCTGCAGATCCGGCGGCGGGGGCGGCGCCAACGGAGGAAGGCCAGACCTTTCTCTGCACATGGCTTCGTAGGATGCAGATTTCAAAATACTCTTGGCGTTGGCGACAAGACAGTCAAAAGGAGCGCCAGCCAGCGACAGGCGAATGCGCGCAAGAACCGTCTCCAGGATGAGAATATCATGCCTCAAAGAAAACCGATGGCGGCCCATCTGGAGCGGGCACTCGCTGTCCAAAAGAAAAGTTGCCCGTAACGTGACGTGGGTCAGGGCTATATTTGCTTCGCGGCGCTCGCCAAATGAGTAGAGCCGGAGACGCAACGAGGGCGAGACGTAGATTCTGTCCAAGCGCCGAGAGCAGTTCTGACCGGCATTGTTGGTACCATGAGCCCTGTTAGGGAAAAGCTCACGGAAACAGTCGCGTAAATCGTTCGTGGCGATTATGTCAGCAAGCGGCTGGCGGGCACGAAGCGCGGCTCTGGAAGGAACAGTAACGCGGCCATCACTATTGTCCAAAGTGTCGTCCATGACATCGTTGAAATCACCGCCAAGCACGATTTGAACGTTGGGATGCTTCTGTCTGACGCAAAACAAAGCCGAATCCAAACCTTTGTTGATAGAAGCCCAGAGGTTTTCGCGGGCAAGGGTAGCTTGACCCGTTGGAGCGTACACCGACACGACAAGCCAGACTTCGCCAGTTTTTTTGACCCGAACAAGGAGGTCAGCCACGCGAGCTAAAGTATCGCGTGCAGAGAGAAAGTTCGCAAGCACGTTGGATTCAATCAACCCGAACAAACTTTTTTTGGCAAGCACCGCCGCTCGGCATTCAGCACGAGAGGAAGGCAACAGGCACAAAAATGAGCTAAAGTGTTCGTTGTTGGTGAAAGAATCAGTCTGTCCAGTCTTGACCTCTTGCAACATGAGAAGATCGTGATCACAAAGGGAGCTCAAGGAATACGGTTGAAAGATATTTTGGATATTTTTAGATATTACCTTAACTGTATTTGCCACGTGGGCAATAGACCACTTTGAGCTGAGCCCAGGACTGACTTGCATCCATGGGAGAGTGACTGGACTGGAAGATTCCAACGTGTTGCGTGATTTTCAGAGCTCTTTTTCGCTCGGCAGGGACGTCGGTATGACAATGACCTCGTCGAATAAGCCCTGCTTGCGC